ACCCAGAATAAGTTTGACAACCTACTCAGCATTTTAGATGAGCCTAGGAGGTGCTCCAAAGACAACCATGGCTACTATATGCATCCAAGGTACATTCTGACTATTAAGAAGGGTTTGCTATCAGATGGAGAGGAAGCCATGAAATAAGTATCTAAACTGCTTTCTGTGAAGTCCTTAATCTGCAGCTTGGACAGGGTTTGATTTGGTTTTGAGCTGTTAGTTTTCCAAAACAAAGGTATTAACAGTAATTGAGACCAAGTGTAGTTGTAGTTCCCAGTGGAAGATGGAACTCTTATTCCGTGTGTAGAGCTGTGAGCAGAAAGTCTATGGGCAATGGATTGTGAGCTGTCAAAAGAGTTTTCTCCCAAGCCATCCCGAAGTACCCATTGCATGCACATGGTCAAGGTATTACACTTTTGTGGTACAAAGTCTGAAGCTGATGTTGTTAGAACATGGCGATGTGTGGGATCCCAACCTGATTTCCACCATACTCAGTGGTTGAGTTCCCTAACCTGTCCAAATAGTTAGAAAGCTGGTGGGTATCTTGAGAAGAGCCCCCAGAAGTTAGATTGGACAGTATTAACAATGTGGATCATTGTAACAATGTGGTACAGGAAGGACTGTACCAAACCAATGACTCTCTACTTTCACTCAGCTTTAATGAAGAAAGAATGATGAGGGCATGGATTGCTTGGGAAAGTTTTGCATAAATGAGAGAAACTGGTAATACTAATTATTTTATTGTCTCTGATGTGGCTAAAGTCCTAATAGACAAGTTAGGACATGGTCTTCCAAGAGTATCTATCATTGATTAAAGAATATTGTAGTGGGGACTAGAGAGACGGCTCAGGGGTTAAAAGTACTTATGGCTCTTGTAGAGGACCCAGGTTCTATTCTCAGCACCCACACAGTGGCCCACAACCATCTGTACCTCCAGCTCCCGAGTATCTATGCTTTCTTCTGATCTCCTCAGGCACCAAACACGCCTGTGGCACACATACATACAGGCAGGCCAAACACCCATCCACGTAAAATAAACAAATCTAAAAGGAAGTAAAGAATACATAAGTAACTCCAAATTTTAATTTTTCCCCTTCATTTTTTAGGACGTCAGTAAAATTTTTGAGTTTGAACTATTCTTTGAATTTTGTTTTATTCCCCTCTCACTTAAAAATACGCCTTGAACATAATCTCCTGCTTGAACATAAGGGTTAGCTGCCATTTAAATTCATTTAAAGTGTGACTCGGTGTAAAGCACGCTCTTGAAATATCATACCAAAATCTAATATTTGCTGAGAGTTGTCTCCTTCTGTTACTCTTCCGAATCTTTAGCAGGAGCTTTGTGTGTTAAGTTACAGAATTGAAATGCCAGAGTGTAACACTAATATCACCAGCTGCAGAAACTCGTTTGAGACCTGCAGCATGATTGGAATTAGGAAAGTAAATTTCATTTTAAACGCTATCAGGAGGGACAACTGGGAAGAAATAATGTGCTGTGCTTTCGGTAATAAAGAATAGATCAATATTTTAAAATGTGATAAATTATACAGCCCTTTCCCGTGCCTCATAAATATTCCAACAAACACAATTGTTAGAGACAGACGATGCAATGACTAGCAGGGTAGTGTGTTTAAATATAGTTATTCTGCAGTGTCAGGGTGCTGTTTCTAATGTCAGGAGAAACTTGTTATTAAACTTTAGAATTCAATGTGTTATGCTAATGCACTGCTGAGTCCATTTACATTTTATGGAATAATTTTATTTGTTCTGCACTTGCTGGCTGGCAGAGAAAGTGAGCACTGTTTGGTGATATTTTGAAGCTGTAACATCAGCAGCATCTGGTTTAGAGAATTCAACTGTAAATCTGGAAATAAGTGTTGGACGTTATGTTAGCGACTCTGTGGTCCAAACATAGCTTGCCTACCACTTCGTAGTGTACCTTCTGGGAAGCCAGTTGACCTTTGTCAGCGAGTTTCCTTCCACAATAAGTTGAGGTGGCATTTAAGGGGAAAGCTATGAAGGCTACAAGGAAATACATTTTAAACAACAATAGTAAAACTGTGCACATTCCTGAAATACACAGTGAAGGTGCCTTCTGCAGATGGGGTGCATCTCTCCCCGCCTCCTCACGTGTATGTGCAGATGTGTGTGCCTTACCTGGGAGGGATGTGCCATATCTGGTGCTCGGTAGCTTTGCTTTTAACCACATCAGCACTTCATGATTTCTTCCTGGCCAGTACATGGCACCTGCATTTTCCAAAGCATATAGATCATCGTATTCTGTAAATGGCCTTCTGTTGATTCATAGGGAACATATTCAGGTGTGTGTTCATATTTTAAAGTACACATAGTTTGCTTTTCCTTTCAATTGATAGACATTGTATCCGCAGTGGAATGGCTCAGCCTAATTAACTGCAAACGCACTGCCAGCTGGGAGTGGTAGCTCACACCTTTGTTCCCAGTGCTTGGGAGGCAGAAGCAGAGAGAGCTGCATGAGTTTAAGGCTGACCTTGTCTACACAACAGGTTCCAGGCCAGCCAGGGCTACAGAGGAAGACCCTGTCACAAAACAAATGAGCAAAATGAACTCACATGGTTATCTTTTTAAAGATGACCACATCTCACACAGCAGCCATGCTCTGTACTTTTCAGAATATAATATAATGTATCATTAATGGTTATGGTCACCCCTTTTTATTAAACTATTGAAACTTAGTCCTCCAGTCTAATGAAGAGATACTCTTTAAAAACCATATCTCCCACTCCATCCCCTACTACCCAGCCCCTGATAACCACCATGCACAGTAGTTCCACAAAAATCAACTTTTTTTTCCTTTTTTCTTTATTTTATATTTTAAAATAAATAAACTTATTTATTTTACACCCTGGCTGCAATTTCTTCTTCCAGTCCCTCTCCCTCATACCCCTTTTTTCCTACCTCCCTCCCCCAATCCATTCCTTCATTTCTGTTTAGGAAAGAATAGCTCTCCCATGAGTATCAATACAACATGGCATATCAAGTTGCAGTAAGACTAAGCATCTCACCATGTAGTAAGACAGACAAGATGACCCTGAATGAGGAGTAGGGTCCCAAAAGCGTGTAAAAGAGTCAGAGACAGTCCCTGTTCCCATTGTTAGGAGATCCACAAGAAGACCAAGCTACACAACTGTCACATCTATGTAGAGTGCCTAGGTCAGACCCATGCAGGCTCCTTGCTTGTCAGCTCAGTTCCTAGGAGTCCAGGTTAGTTGAGTCTGTGGGTTTTATTGTGGTGTCCTTGACCCATCCTACAATCCAGAAATCAACTTCTTAATGTTACATATTTGAGATTGTGTTTCATATGAAATTTAGGATGTTTTTTTATGGCTGTGACAAATGACTTTGGTACTTTGGGGTCGGGGTTGCATTGACTACATAGATCACTGTGGGCAGGCATTGCATTGAATTTGTGGATCACTTTGGCTAATAATAATATTCTTCTGGTCCATGAACATAAGGGATTTTCATTTATTTTTAGCCCATACCTTAAAATATTTCACAATTAATAGTTGTACAGTACTTAGACTATAAACTATGTAGTTGCTTTATTTTTGGCTCATACCAGATTGATCATTACTAGAAGGGTCCTTGAAATTCCTTAGTGGCTAGAGATACTATTTTTGGTCTATCTGTTTGACTTTGAATCAGTTTCGTGTACTCCAGACTTGCATTGAACTCATTGTTATAGCCAGGATGACCTTGTGCTGGATTTTTCAGGTGTGAACCATCAAGCACATCCTAATTTTGACCTTCATTTATTGGATTATTAACTTTAGACCCTATGTAGATGAAACAGAAGTGAAGATACGATTTAGGATTTAGAGAATTCCTCTGATTCACACGTATTACTGTACCATTTAATGTCTCCATAAAGTAAGGTTTAACCATCATACTGATTCTCAGCTGGGAGGGAGAAAGAGTGTTCAATCCCCTATTCTACCAAGAATCTTCCAGAAGGCCTTCTTCAAAGAATGTCATCTTTCCGGTCCGGGGGGGGGGGGGGTGCCCAGCTGGTTGAGACTCTGCCTGTAATTTAAGATGTTACAGTGAGGAAGGTGTTAGGCAGCAGATGTACACACCAACCCCAAGCAAACAGACAAAAGGAACAAATTGACACTAATAATAATAGTACAGATAAAGGTTACAGCAATGTCAGGTGGTGGAGGAAGCAGATCTTTGTGACTTTGAGGCCAGCCTGGTTGACAGAACTAGCTCCAGGATAGCTAGGGCTATTACACAGAGAAATCCTGTCTCCAAAAAAAAAAAACACCAACCAAAAAGGTACAACAATTAAGTAGTAAAGGGTTGTCTTTTTCAGGTTGACATTATTTTCTTTGATCTCTTCATTTTCTAAGTAAGCTTTTATGTTTTTGTTTGGTTATTTATTTATTTGGGGGAGTGAACCTAAACCCTAGAGAACAAGCACTTTATCACTGAGTTACATTGCCAGCCAAGATCCTTATTTTTATCATCAGTGCTAGAAGATGTTTCTTTCTACTCACTTCACAAGAGTTCTGCTGAACATTGGTGGGTGGAGACCAGCAACACGCAGTAGTGATGTTTGAACCACACAGGATGGAAGTGTCTTGTGTGGGTGGAGACCAGCAATGTACAATGGAGATGTGGACTATAAAGGATATCTTTTGCAGAGGTGTGCTGGAAAAATTATCATGATGCAGGTTTTCTGAATTCATTGGAATAGAAAGTCTGAGTAGTAATTCTGTGAACATGCAATCGGCCATCTTTCATGTCTTTAAACTATATAGAAAACTCATAGAGGTCTAGGGTCTGACAGTGTGAACATCCATCTTATTGCATGCATTAGAACCTAAAAGTCCTGATGACAAGGACATGTGTGTCTGGAGGTTGGATCTGAAGTGCTCTGAGTTCTCTCTGTAGCACCTGAGGGTAAATGAAAAGTCTAAGATGAGAAGTACTAATGGAGTTCTGTTTACCTACAGACTGCAGCGGAATATGTAAAATCTCGACTCCCAGAGGCCCTTAAACAGCATCTTCAGGATTATGAGAAGGACAAAGAAAACAGTGTTCTGTCTTACCAGACGATCCTTGAGCAGCAGATCTTGTCCATTGACCGAGAAATGCTGGAAAAGTTGACGGTATCCTACGATGAAGCAGGTATGTTTGTTATTAACACACACACGCCACCACATAACCTTGGCTAAATCTGGCCCTTTTTCTGAAGTGGGTGATTAAGGGCAAATTGGACTTGATGTTATGCCAGTTATTGGTGAGTTTCTTCTCTGCAGTTTTAGTGTCAAACTATTCCAGATGATGGCTCTTTTCATATCGAGTCCCTGTAAGCTTTGCTTGCTGCAAATGGAGCATTTCTGACTCTTTATCACCGTACTGCCATTGCTGTAATCTTCTGCGGTCACTTCGGTTTTGTATGTGAGATGAAAACATTTACATCCAGTAATCAGACAGCTCTGTATGATTTGGGGAATTTCTTTTTAATATCAGAGATTGTGTTTTCTCAAGTGGTACTTGTTTAACCCCTTGAAGTTTTACTGGATTTGTCCTTCTTTTCTTCAACAACTTAAATGACATCTCTTCTCTGATCCCACAACAGACATTTGGTTGACAACATACCCTTTATCCCCTCCATTGGAACTTACAATGGAAGCCATGGACAGACCCTGTAAAAGCCATTTTTATCTGGTTTATAGTCTGTTAGCTAAAACCAATTTTATGGAAACAGTGAGATATTATTTAGATTCGTTGAAACTTAGTAAAATGAAATTTAAGGGTGCTTGCCTGGTGTCCTAATTTGTTTCCTATTGGTGTGATAACATAGTGACCAGAAACAACTTGGGAAGGGAAGAGTGTATTTCGTCTTACACTCCCTGGTAACGGCCCATCACTGAGGGATGTCTAGGTGTAAATTCAAGGCAGGATCCTGCTTACTAGCTTGATCCCCATGGCTTGCTCACCCTGCTTTCTTATACAACCCAGGTTCTTGTCAAGGGTGGTAACACCCACAGTGTGATAAGTCCCCCCATATCAACCATAAATTTTAAAAAAAAATTGTGTCACAAACATTCCATAGGCCAATCTGAAGGAGGCAATTCCTCAATTAAGGTTTCCTTTTCTCCAGGTGACTCTAATTTGTGTCAGGCAGACAAACTAACCAGCAAGCCTAGCATGAGACTCTAGGTTTCTCAGCAGCATATAAACTCAGAGCCTTGTGCATCAGATAGGCCTGTGGTGTGTTCTGACACCTCGGCCTTTAAGACAGATCCTTCAGTGCTTTGGAGGGGAGGGGGACTTCATATCCAGGTCATCACAGGATTCAACCTAGGGATGAAAATAAAAGAACATATAGACATAGCACTGGTAGGATGGTCACTTGAATGGTTTACAGTTTGGTGACTAAACAGTTTGGTGATAAAAAGTTGACACTGGCTTTAGAAACAAAAGATACAGATTCTGTTTCTAACTCTGCTGCTGACCGGATATGTGGCTTCAGGTAACTAAAAATTCACACAGCCCATTCTCCTATAAATTGATAGCATGAGCATAATCTCATGGGTACCCTCTAGTTCTGAAGTGATGCTTCTGCTCTCCTGAGGCTGGAAAGTCTGGGTGTCTATGACTTCTGAAGGATGCACATGGATGCCAACTTCCTGATTGCCCCGTTGCCTTTCTCTTACCACCAGTGTCATTTATACCTAGTAACTGAGTAGGAGACAGGAGACAATCCCACAGTTTTTCCCATGTTTGCACATGGATATGCAAATGACTGGCGATGGGTGGGGAGTGAGATTGACTGCAGGGGTCGAACCAAAGCAGATTTTGCAGCTGTGCATGTTGATCCATGGCCACCACCCACCAATTAGGAGGTGAAGGCAGGAGGGTCGGAAGGCCAGCCTGGACTACTAGAGACTGGTCTCAAAAAAAAAAAAAACAAAAAACCAAGCCCAGTCAAACAGGAGCGCCACTGGGTTTTTGGAAGAAAACGTTCTGAATCCTATCACTCACAGGTTCTCATAGGTGGTTTGGGTTCTTCCATTAGCATTTATCACTGCTAAACAAAATAAGAAGTGAGATATGGTTTATTTTGTTTAAATTGAAGTACATGTTTGCACATGTTAACATATCAGAGTTAGCATACAGAAATTTCCAAGGAAGGAAAGCAATGCCATGGTTTGTGAAAACAGTTGAAATGTGTTTCACTATCTGAGAAAGCACTGCTGACCTGGTGTTTGTTAGCACCATAGGCAGGAGAGAGAAGCCTTCTATATGTCACTTTTTATTTATGCTTCTGCAAGCGACCTTACATTCTGTTTTTAATTGTCTTGTGTGTTTGTGCATAAATAAGTAACCTATGGCTTTCTTTACTAAGGATATAGTGGTGTGGTTTATCATTCTGTGTGTGGGAGGGATTTTGAGGGAGCAGGCCCATTTTTATTTGAGAGTGATTGACCTGCTCAAGAGCCCTAAGGCGTGCAGCAGAAGTCTGGAAACAGGAGTGCAGATACATGCTTTTCTTCCATGCTTGCAGGATGCCCAGTGGGAGCGTCTTGCCTCACGTTGCCTTGAGACAGCAGTTTCCTGGCCTGCTGTTTAGCTCTCCACTTCTGAGCTACCTTCTCAGACCAGTGAGGGTCTTTACTCCTATTCTTATAGTTCACTAGAAACTCAGTTTCACATTGAGTTCAGGGATTGGCCATGTAGAGAGAACACTTGGGAAAGGGGAGCATTCTGCTGGCTGCGGATTGTGTTAACCTGAACCCTCAGGTGAAGCCGGCACCTGCAGATCCCCTAACAGGTACCAGACAGTCACACAGCTTCCCCAGAAGAGGTGAGGATGGAGAAGCAGCTGCTTTTCATTCCTTGCTTTGTGACTCCGGATAGAGCCTGAGAGCAGCAGCGCCTGAGTGTAACTCTGGAGAAGATGCTCCAGACACTGGCATGCTATCTGGAGAAATAGCTTTTAAAACAGCAAGAGAAACCTGCTGTTAGCAATTTAGGAAGTAGCTGAAGGGTTTCCCCCTACTGAGATTACTTTATTCCCCTTGAAATGGATGATACCTGAGAGTTACATCTGTGTTTTAATCGAGCCATTAGTGTCAGAGTAATCAGTGGTCTGAAAGGAAAGCCATTTACTGTCACAGGGAAACCACACACCCTGTAACCCAAACCCTGAAGGAGAAAGGCGAAAGTAAATTATTTAGGGCCCTTCCAGGCTTTCTAGCATCTTAGAAAGTGCAGTAACAGCCCTGTGCAGGAAGTTCTTCACTTTGGCAGACTGACTTTCTCAGTGTGTTTGTCAAACAGACCCCCAGGGAGGAGGGAACACAGAGGCTTCCTTACTTTATCTCCTGTCAGTCTATCTCTGGGTTGAAAAGCTGTCTTCTCAGGGACAGGAACTGGAGGACCTGGAAGGGAGAGAAAAACAGGGGCCCAAAGGGACTTCCAAAGGGACCCTTGGTCCTGACTGTGTCCCATGTTACCAGCTTCTGATTGTCTGTCAAAGGTTTAAAATCTGGAGATACTTTTTTGGGAAATTCCTAAAATAGGGAAAAATGGAAGAGAACAACAAAATGTTTTAATCTTACTGTTTAATATCTTTAGTGCATTTCCTTCTAGTCATTTTTGTCTGCTGAGTTTTATGTCTTTTCACAAAATTTTAACACTGAACTTATTTCTTCATGAACTTATAAACTTCTTATAATGGTTGAAATCCTGTTATGTAACTATCACAGTCACTATGCCTGTGTCTTTTTAATTTTTTTCTTTTTAATGATTCTATTCTCATCCCCATATAGAACCCCTGATTTTTTTTTTCTTTTTTCTATTTTCAATTTAAATTAGAATCAGCTTGTTTTACATGCCAAACCCAGTTCCCTCTCCCTCCCCTCATCCCCTGTCCCCCACTGACCCCCTATCCCATCCCCTTTCTGCTCCTCAAGGAGGGTGAGGCCTTTCTTAGGGGATCTTCAAAGTTTATCAGATCATTTGGAGTAGGGCCTAGACCCTCCTGTATGTGTCCAGGCTGGGATCCATGAGCTCCCCCTTGTTCAGGTCAGCTGTTTCTGTGAGAACCCCTGAATTTTGTTGTTTTTTTATATGAGAAAATATGAATGGTAGTATGATTAACAGATACATGGAGACTTTTTAATGTAACCAATTATTAGCCATGTGAAAGGAATGGAGAAAATAGGTAGCCAGAATTCACTTATAAACCAAGAGCTCTCTGACCAATAATTCTTACCCTTACTCACTCCCCTCTGCCTGAGTGCTGGTGAGCAAACTCAGGGCCTCATGCTCGCAAGGCATACACTTTACCAATTGAGCTATGTATTGGGCTCCTAATTCTAATTTTTAAGCAAAGCCAATTTGTATTTAATTTGTTTTTTTTTTTTTATTTTTCCTTTATATCCAGGATTTTAAACAGCTAAATCCTGTGTGTGTGTGTGTGTCGGGGGGGGGGGGTGGGGGGGGAGAATAACTAAACTTTCCTACCTATGAAATAGGAAACTGTCTCACAGCTTGAAAGCTACACACGTGATTCAGTGGTTGGACACTGGGTGTCTGTGCTTGGCCTCTTCTACTGTAAAATAGCAGCCTCGGTTTCTTAATACTCTTCCAGGTTTAACAGTGTGTGACTCTATCTTCCCTCCGTAAACACTGACTGCATGAGCACCTGAGCCAGGCATGTTGGACCACTAAAAATATCCAGATGACAATGTGGTCCTTTACTCAGGATAAAGTGTGTGTGTGTGTGTGTGTGTGTGTGTGTGTGTGTGTGTGTGTGTACATGCTTTTGTACACATGTGGTGGTAGGAAGCCTCAGAGCCACAGCTGGCAGAAGCAGGAAAGTAAGTTCAGGGAACTCATCCTCCCGGGTTCAGGAAATGGGCAGAGGAGGAAGAATTGGCTTTGGGAAGTTTTGATTCAATACATCAGAAAATCACAAGAGTGCCCTTAAGTCTTTTATTCAGCCTGAACTTTAATGTTGACTGCATTTTAAACGTTTTAAAGGCAGGCTTTGAGCAGTGCTTTCTTTCTCTTTGCTTCTGTGACTAAGAGCCATTGTGTTACAGAACTGTTCTTATCCTCTGCCATGAGGCTACCTACCACATTCTGATCATTGCTCCCCAACTAATTTTAAT